TATTTCAAGTATTTTATTTTCTAATTTATTAAAACCACATTAAATATGTTAATTAAGAACTTCGATTTAATAACTTTATTGTTAAATTCATTACATGTCTATGTTTTAAAGACTTTTCTACATTTATACTGTATATATAAACCTACCTATACAAGGTTTTTTCTACAAAGAAAGGCGGATAAACGGTATTTTTTCAAAAACTTTTTTAAAAACTCTGTTTTTAAAAAAAGCAAAAGTGTTTAAAAGTTTCAAATAAATCAACTAAATATACACATCGTGTTTCTTCGATTCTAAGACGTAATATGAGTTCGAAATAGAATTTTCAATGTAAAATGTAAATGAAATGTAAAATGGAATAAAAATATTTAAATAATTTTATTTTAAACTTAATAAAATAAATTAATAAGTTATTTCATGAAATTTGTATTGCTTTGTCCCAGCACTTTTAAAAATGTAATAATTTTCGTTTAAACTTCCATCACAATGTCGTTTTAAGGAATTCAATACGTTAAAAAGAAGCTTAAATAAAACGCTTATTAAAGGTAAAGCTTGTTTGAACTGACTGTTGAGTGGTATAATTTACAAATAATGAAAAAGTTTACTATTGGGGCACAACACATCAAGTGATTTGCTTGCAATGACTGTCGCAAGCAAACCACTTGGTGTGATTGTTGTTTTGAACTGTGAATGTAAGAAGAGGGACGCCCAGAGGGGGGCAAAAGGAACAAATTGCCTTGGGCCTTCGAGGAAATAGAATTCCAATACAATGTTTTACTTCCTTTACTTTAATATAATAATTTAATACAGTAATGTTATAGGTCCCCAATATGTATTTTTTCCTAGGTTTCCGTTATCCTATAGGAGGCCCTGTTTAAGACACCTCCGATTATAATATTCACTTCTAGTTCAGACAAGTTAAAAATATGCAGGCCTTAAAAAATCTTAAAATCAAGGAAATAAGACATATGCATATATTTTTTTAAATGTTTAAGATATAGAGTATACCCTCATAACTCCAGAAAAAACACTTATATAGGCCTATATACAGTATAAGCTTTACTGTATATTAATTTATCAGAGTTCTACGAGTTAGATTCTCGATGTTTATGAAATTTATATGTTTGTTGATTTATTTTAATGATATAACAATAAAATGAAGATACAGTATCTCGTTATTTTCTAACTAGATGATAATAAAAATCATTCTCATTCTCATGATTATATACACTTTCATTACATTAATGAGTGCATCCTTTTCATTAATTCCATTTATAACTATATTACTGTCTTATAATAGTAATTTCAACTTAATAAATGTTAAGTAAGGCACTTTCATGTAATGTATAATATAACAGTTTAAATTATATTTGTTGGAATATTAATAACTGTCATAATAAATTTATATTTAAATTTAATTTTCATTTATAATAAGTTAATTTATATACAAAAATCTCATTAAAAACTTTAATTATTTCTAAACATTTTGACAGGCTAGAATCTTGCATTTATGTTTGTAAATGGATTATAATGAATATTTTCCCTGTTTTAAAGCTGTTAACTTATTCCTTATTTATCTGTTAGAGTAAAATCAATTAAAAAAAATAAAATCTAATTAAAAATATTAAATTATACCAAAAATTAAATTAACTTTAGAATTTTTTTTATTTAAAAAAAATGTCTTACTTTTCCTCATTTTGTTCTTTTTTTATGTTTTGAAGTATTCGATAAATCGCCAACATAATAAACGTTTTATTAATTTATAAACGCTTCAAATTATATGACATTTTAAAAATAATTTGGGCAAAATTTTAGCTAATAAAATTCTTTATTTATTTATTTATTATTATTTTTATTTTGTTTGTTTCATCGAAAGTTATAATTTATTGCTGTTCAGAAGCTGTTCAGAACATTACACTGACAGATATCGAAAATTTCTACATTAAAGTTATAACATTTAGCCTATATATTAAGTTTAATAACATAAAGCTAAAGTACTAATATTAAACAAAACATTTTAAATCTGTGTTTGATGAATAGAGCTATAAAATAAGCGATAAGTTTCCAAAATTATGGAAACTTATCGCTTATTCAGTGGGAAAAAAAGAAGATAAAAAAATGTAAAGTGCTTCATAAAACTTCTTTTATAAAAATATTTTAAACTATATGCAAAAGAATTTATAATGTTTGCAATCTAATTAAAATAATACCATAAGAATATTTTTCATAGTAAAAAATTGGATAAAGATAAAGAAGATTTATGACAACTTTTAAGTAAAAAAATCTCTGCAGTTTATTGATTTAAATATAAATATTTGCATAAAGCTCAGTACGTGGAGAAGTATTGTTTTCATGAAAAAATCAATGTCCTTTAACGTATCTTAAATATAATTTGACAGGTTTAGTGATGTGTCTGTGTCAATTTAATGAATCAATCATAAATTTAAATTGAAATAAATATATACATATATTTTAGCGTAAAATAAATGATAATTTTTACGTGAGAATCTTCACAATTAAAACTGGAAATTATAAAGATTTTCTTACTTATCCTTATGAACGTGACACGTTTCTATAACAGGTTACAAATTATGAAGAAAGTTGTTTAAGTCACCATACTGGATTTTTTAATTAGTTAAAATTCATATCAACATTACTGAAAGTATTATTTTTTATCAAGATAATTTATCTACTTAAATTCGCTCTCGAAAATGTCATTTATACTTAAAAAAAATTGAAATGCTTTATAAGCCTGGAGCTAAAATTTGCAACTAGGCAGATTTTATCGAGATATTTTCATCAGTTCTTATCAACTGCCATTTGTCTGTAAAATCCCTTTTTTTAAAGACATTTATTTTAGTTTTATTTTACTTTTAATATTTAGAAATTAATTAGTAACCGATTAATGTTTATATTATATAAATAACTGTTTTTTTAATTGTTAAATTTATTTTAGTTCAGTTTTAGCTTCACCAATTAATTATATAGTTAGAATTATTATTATTTTCTTTGCTTATAAATAAAAAAGTAAAATATGCCCTTCAGGTAATCTTTATCAATAAAATTATGTATATATAATTCAATGCAAAAATTTGTTAATTACCAGATTAATTAACCAAGCACAATTGCTTCTAGTATAAAAGATGAAAATAATTTCCGAAAATGTTAGTATTACCTTGGGTTAACGATAAAAAGACAGGTATCCTAGTTCAGGATTCGGTCGACAAGGAACATTCCACCATGGCTGAGGACGAATTCTAGTCTTGGATGTAGAACTTTATAACAATTGGAAGAAGTTATGTTAAAATTATTAATTACCATTTAGTAAATTAACATAGCCACATTACGATGCCTCAGCACACCCATAGATATGCTATATTTGAGAAAATTAGAATGGAGAAAGATAACTTCCTTTAGAACAATCTTGCTTCTAATTTTCTCTCTTATCTACGATAAACTTCTAAAAAGTTAGAACTAAATGTGCAAAGCGTGCAAATAAGAAAAAAAAATTAAAAAAGAAAAAAGTATTTTAAAATTAGTAGTGTAAGATGGTGCCTTTAACCAAGAAGAAATTTATGTACAGTATCTATTTTTAGAATATTTCAAATTATGTCGTTATTCAATTAGGCTAATTAAAAGTTATTAAATTATTTTATAATAAAATTTAATTATTACAAATAAAATTAGAATTTAATGATAAAAATAAATTGGATATTTTACAATAGAGTTGGACAACCTATTATTTGTGAGTCATAGCTGACTCTTTTCATATTAAATAAAAAGGTTGCCGACACTGCGTTAAAGGATGAAGAAACTAAAGATATTGTTGGTGGTAGCTGGGCAAATATGTCATTTATGTCAACTAAGTATTTCTTTTAGTATTTACAAACAGATTTTAATCTGTGTTTGTAAATACTAATGAACGATTTTTCCATGCGAGATGTGAGATAAGAAGTACGCCGTCAGATGCAGCCTCAGGCAATAATTTGACAATGGTCTTCTGAAGATCACTACCCGTCTAGAAAACTTATTAATGATATAAATATAGCTCTTAATGATGATTAATTTTTAAAAAGTACAATGCTGATGCGAACCTCCGTTGCTAAACAAAATCCGTTCCACCAGTGGGAACGGATTTTGTTTCACTATCGGACATATCTGATTATGAAACGTCCGTTTGTAGAAACAAGATGCTTTTGTTGCTCCAGGAATGGTAGTGACAAAACTTACAATTTGACAACAGCGTAACAGGAACTTACATGCACCCCAATGGACATATTTCTTCACGGTTTACTTACTCTCAATTGGAATGTTGCAAAACATGTTAACTGAGAATCTTACAAGTGTCGCCTGAAAAAGTTAATCAAGACTCCTGAAATTGGTTTACCACTTCCTATGTCCACTTGGTTGCCCATCTTGCTGAACTTCATATCGTAGATTTAGTAAATGGATGCAAAATTTAAATTATTTTTTGATAGAACTGACTGCACATGGAACGATTTTCCCTAGATGCATATATGCATGCATATATGTAAATTTAATTATTTTTCATTAAATTAAGGCTGTCCATCCCTATTCCACAACAAAGATAAATTCTATTTATAGTATATAATTTTCAATATTAAAAATAACTTACACACGTATATACAATAATGTTGTTTAATATAATTAATTAATTAATAATAATTCACTCTATTAAATTATCCTGAGCAATTTATGAAAATTTTAAATTAAAATTTAAATATATATACATATTATTCTCACTTTTTGTATAGAATCATTAACTATCGATATATTAATATTTAAATATTATGATAACAATAGAAGTGCAAATTTGTAAGACGTTCTTTGAAACAAAAATTAAATCGTGCAAACAGAAGAGCATAATAAATGTTGAATAAATGCATTAAAAAAAAAAAAAAAAAAAAAAAGATTACGTGAAGGGCATGGCTGAGGAATCGTCGAAAATTTTCATTTATTATATTGTTTATACACGTACTTACCTCCTGACTATGATGACAATTATTGTAATAGCTACTGCTAAGAAAACAAAACCTCCAAAGACACCAAGAGCAATAATACCTCCTAAGAATTTAATAATTTTAAGAACATTCAATCTGTTTCAAACATGTGTTAAAATATTTATTTATAAAGTTTTATATAAATTACTTACCCATATTAAGACGAGAAGAAAACAGAGAAGGACGTTTTGTTTGAGATCTTTTTCCATCCATACCCTTTGGGTGTGCTGTGACGATTGGGATATCGGTACCTAAGTTAGCTTTAGCCGAATACGAATATTCTTTTGTAATTAAAACTTAACAAAATAAATATCTGAGAAGTAGGTATCCCTCACCAAAAGGCATTACAACCTATTACCGAATAGTGCGAAAGTTTCCTCTTTCCACCAAGCAAACTTAAATATGTGTGAAGAATATTCTTAAATTGTATACCACGTGATAAAGTTATTCAAAAGATAAATTATTACGCATGTTAAGCGATAAAACATAAATCTGAGAAATATACAACAAGACATTTTCTATTCTGTCTATAAAACGAGCTAAAAGTAAATTGTGATGCAAATATGTCACAATTAGGTATACGTTATGTGATAGCAAGTAAATAAATAAAAGCATAAATATCCTAAAAGCAAAGAGAAAATTTATTTCTCATTATTTTTTAATATTACTCATGAACTCTAGTAATTTGAAATTGCTATTGTCTCCTATGATTATTACAGAAAAAACAACCTTAATGAAAGTGTACTTTGCAAATAATGGTGTAAAATTGATTGTCAATACCCAAAAGAAGTCGATTGGTTTCATTTATTCTACAATAATATTCCTCTTATGATCTCTAGAAAACAATTTCTAGAAAATAATTCTATAATTAAAATATTATTTAAAGTTAATACCAAAATTAATATTCTGTTTTCAAAATGTAACAGTAACATCCGGAAAATATCTTACTTCCTATTGCATATATTCTAAATTTAAAAAAAATGTAAGCTACTACCGAAACATGCGTAATTATTCATCTTCAGGACTTTATTTTTCTTCTATGGATACATAATTTGCAGGATATTTTTATAAGTAACCTTTAAGCCAAAATTCCAAACCAAAATTAGTAAAAATCCCCAATAATTAAAGTTATAGAAAGTAAATATTTGAAATAATATAAGCAAATAGACCTTTCTAATAATTTTAACAATAGCCATAAACAAATTTAACATCGCGTTAAATAATATTTGCAATTTTTTATACAAATATATTTTAATATGTTTTATTTATTTTTTAAAAAAATTAAACATTACTTCTCAGTATTTAAGATTAATTTAAAAAAAAACAAATAAAATTCTCACCATAACATGTTGGAATTTTTCCTTCCCAATCACCACTGTCACCACAGATCAAAATAGAATCGCCTACCAATTTATAACCAACGTCACATTCATATACAACTTGCGATCCATAAGCAGTAGACTGTGACGTTAAATTTAAATGTCCTCGTAAGATGGAAGGAGGAGGTCTACATATAATGGCTAAATACAAAGAAAAAAATAGTTTTATAAAAACTTTATATGATAAATATAAAGTTTAAATGATATATAATGTACTTCCCGTATTCACAGGTCTGTGAAAATTGTGTATTAGATAAAACGTATAGTATAATTAATGAAATAAGGAAAAGAGAATAGACATAAGAAAATGAGGGAAAAAATTTGATTTATGTTCTCCTTATTAGGAAGAGGATGATATTTTGAGTATAAAACCATCGTTAAAAAATAAAAAAATACTTTAAAAGATGTCATCGTTCATTATAAGAATCTATGTTTGATATATCTAGAACAGGAAGAAAAAAACTTAAGCATCAGGAAAACAAGACGGAAACAAAACTTATTTAAATGCTTATAACAGAAACATTTGAATAAGTTTTGTTTTCCTGGAGAGGAAAAACAAGAAGAGTTAAAGGTTTGAGGAATAGAGACTAGAATTTTATAATTTTTTGAAATTGAGAATATAAGTTACATTAAAGAATTATACTTTTAAAAATATAAATTCTATAGACTCTTTTTAATACATCTTCAATGTTTTATATAGAAATATTACAAGTTTATCACTCTTATTAATATTTAAAAACATAATATTATGTAAATAATATTGACAATATGTCTCATTTCATATCGAACTAAGAAAAATCGTTTTGTGCCGAATTCGTGGCGAAAAGATGAACTATTTTATGTAGAAAACAATCTAATTATGTATTTTTTTATGTAATTCCTTTCTTTTAGTGCATTTGATTTAATAAACCATTCTCTAGCAGTCTCTGAAGAAGAGATAATTACAACCGTTCTCTATTTTAATTACTTACGATCACACATTGGAGGTGGCCCATTCCACTTTTCGTCTACGTCACATACAAGATTTCCTCTCCCTACTAATTGAAAACCCTTGTTGCAATAGTAATGAACCATGCTTAAATAATGTGTAGTACCATTTAAAAGTGTATAATTGCCATTCTGAATAAAAGCAGGATAACCACATTCCAGATCTACAAAAAGTAAAAAAAAAAAGAAATAATAATAATAAATAAATAAAATAATAATAATTTTTGCTAATAAATTTAATAATTTAGGATAATATATTTAATAAATTACTTACAACGGCATTTCGGTGGAAATTCCGTGTAAAATCCAGTCGGTAAACACGTTCTTACCATAGGTCCAACTAGTATATGACCTGCTGAGCATTGATATTCTATGGTCGATCCAATATCAAAATTACCAACTTGAAGACTAGAATTGGCAGATATAGCAGGTTTCCCACAAGATAATGGCTCTATAAATAAATTAAAAATTTAATTTAAAAATTTAAACTGAGAAATGAAAAAAAAAATTCTGTTATCGACAATATGGCTGGCCATAAATTAGACTTTGTAGTTCGCGTGTTTGTATTGAGTTAAGATTAATTTTTTGAATAGTAACATAATATTTTCAAATTAAAGACCAACCACATTGATAATAAACTTTATTATTTAGAAAAATTATATTTCTTGCTAGACTATAGGCCTACATACAAATGCGTCCAAATCCTTCTGTCCAAGCGTGTGAAAGGACAGAAGGATTTGGACTCATTTGTATGTATAGTCTAGCAAAAAAATATAATTTTTCTAAATGTGAATTCGTCCTGGCAATTTTTTAATGTAAACTTTATTATATTTTGTATTTTATTATATTTAAATACTCACTATGAACACAGATATAATTGAGATTTAAATTACAGTTTGTCTCCGACCAAAGCCATTGTTTTCCTCCATCGAATCTGGAACAATTTTCATTTGCTCTAGGAGGACTCCAATATGAAATAGTAACATCTTGACCTTTAAAGGCATTTATAGTACTATGTAATAAATTTAAAATATTAATATGACAGCAAAATTAATAAATTAAACAAACCATTTATCCATTTCCACGTATGAGGATCATTAGGATTTCGAATTGCACCCATCCAATATTGACCACTCGGATCATTTCTATGCCTCCTATATAATTCCCAACTCAAAAATCCTTGTAATGCTGGATTAGATTCATCCACTAAAGTGCCTCCTCTGTTTTCGCAGAAGCTTCTTGCATTTTCGAAAGTTTTTGGTTGATTAGAATAGAAAATATAGCATTTTCCATTATAAGTTGCACCACTTCCAGGAGGTTGCTCTCTAAATGAAGGGCACCGTTCGATTGGAAGAACTAAAATAATTTGAAAATAAAATTAAATTTATTTCTCGATATTGAAAATATGGAAAATTGTTTATTTATAGCAAGCATACCTTGATCTGTATAGACGAATACTTCACAAATAGATAAAGGATTATGACGTGGTGGTCCTTCTAAATGAATACTAACAAAAGCACCAGGCATTTTTGAGTTACATAATAAAAATAACGGTCTTCCTTCTTCTACACATTAAAAATAAAGCATATTAATCGAAACGAAATAAATTCCAATCACATAACAATAAATAACATTAATTTAAATAAACTTTTAATATAAAAAAACAGGATAAATTAAATGTAAAATTTGAAATTATACATATACAGTATAATCAAAATTTATTTATAAAGTCATTGAATTTAGAATCTGAATAAATCAATTATTCATTCTATGCATGGGATCAGTCGAAATTCGAACAGCGCCCTTTAAATTTGGATAAAACTACTGTATATTTTATTAAAACATAACATGGGTGTTGGCAAGGCAATTTAATGGCTTTGGTTCTTTTCGCAGCTAAACATGTGTTGACACGATACCTTCAAATATTAAATTAGTATCTCTAATACTACGGAGAATATTAATGTTAGTGTTAATAACGTTAATAAAACTGCTGTATATGATACTTACTGTACGTTTGATTCCAAAAATGGTTTAAATTGTTTATAGAATTGAATCGATTTTTGCACTTTTATAATGCAAATAAAACTTATTTTCAAATTAAAATAACCAATTTTTCTTGATAAAATGAAATTTCGATGACATTTTTCTTTTCTATTTTCAAAATTTTATTGTTGATTACTTACTTATCAATGTTTATAAATTGCATATTTTCCTAGCTATTTCATATTATAAAACTATTATAAATAAAATTCAACGGTCTTTACAATGCATCATTTAACAATTGATATAGGAACGTTTAATATACAAATCATAAAAACTAAGCATTTTTCTCTCCAAATTAAAAAATTTTTGGTCTCAGCCAAATTGAATATACTTTCATCTGCTTTTTATTCGATATCTCTGAAGAGAATATTAATTATATTTTTAAAAATACAGTAATCAGAAAAATAATTTATAAAACAAAAAAATCTAACAGTTAACTTTTGATTTAATATGTGGGTATATTTGTAACTGAGTATTGTACTGTACATCGTAAAATTTTAGATCAAATAATTAACTTTAAAACTGAAACATATAGCCTATAGGCAAATCTCTAAAAAATGTCACTCACTGACGGGAACATAAAAAATGGCATTGTTTGAAGGTCATTTTGTATACATTTTTGTTCAAAGTTTCTGAAAAGAAAAATGGTCTCTGTTGGGAGATGGCCGTTATTGGAGTTTCGACTGTAATCCCTATTATCAATATCTTGTGAGTGTTTATAATATATTACAATTAAAAATGTACAGGACTATTATAAATTTATTTTATGGTAAATTAGCAAGTATCTTCTATAGTCTTTCCCAGAATAAAAACGAAGCTGATACTTTTTAGTCTATATACGAGAAGGAAAAATAATTTCGTGTTCATTGTGAAGTAGAGCATAATATATACAGAGCGTGTATTAGAACAACGGTGGGCAACCCCCGGCCCGCGGGCCAGCTACGGCCCGCGAAGAGTTTCTATCCGGCCCGCGAGATGTTTAGAAGAAATTATAAATAAATATTTTTCGATGTAATTCGTCTAGTTTAAATTGAATATTATTTTCTGAAGTGTTGCGGCAGCAATGACAGGAAAAAATAAGGGAGTCATTTCCTTATTCAAACAAAAAATGGGAGAACAGAATTTTTCTAAATTATTTATATCTCATCGCATCATCCATCAAGAAAATCTATGTGCAAAAGCTATGCAATTAGAAAATGTAATGTCTGTCGTATCCAACTACATAGTGCTGTTTTTATTGTGTTTAAAGTCACTTAGATTTTACAAATAGGTGAGCCGTTCACAGCCCGGCACACGCATTTGTAAAATCTAAGTGACTCATACAACATGGAATTCATATAAAACGGAATAATCAACAGTGTTATAGGGGGGTCGACTGTAGTAATTAATTTCTTTTTATTTATTTATTTATTTATTTCATATTTGCAGACTAAAAATTTACAGGTCACAAGGTGTCAATTAACTACTATGGCCCGCGGAAAAAACGTAAAATTTATTCTGGCCCATGTTATAAAAAAGGTTGCCCACCCTTGTATTAGAATATTGTAAGATATGTTTAAACTCTTATAATCTATTTAAAATTTCCCACATTTTTACAAGATAGTTGAGATATTACAAAACGTCATATGACGTAATGTTTAAACTTTCGAAGTATCGTTGCTTAGTTAAGGAGAGATACACATTCAAGATTCAGCATACCGGCTCCTTATTCTAGGAAATACTACAGCTCAATAAACTTTTGATCTAAAAAATCGATATTACTTTAAATTGGCACTCTGAAAGAAAAAAATATCCAGTAATTTTTGTAATCCTTATTAAAACAAACGTTATTTTATTTTACAGATAAATAAATGTATCATTTTTTATAAATATTATACACAAAAATTATTTAATAATTTTTATTTCGGATGAAATATTTAAGAATTAAGAGTACAGTACATTTCTCTTTCTTGAGATAAATAAAGCATGTTTTCACCAGAAGCTTACAAGGTATTATGAAAGTGAAACGATTAACTGATAAATCATATCAGTATCTAGCCTATTGTTAAAGCATATCAACATCTTCATTCATTAGCTGTATACATTATTTGTAATAACGTATTATGTATTTTAAAAAATAAGAAAAATGACAAGTAAATTTCATATGTTTTAAACTAATTTATAACTACGGCCAGGTGGCCGAAGCTGTTAAGATATCAGAGCTCAATTTTCTCTCTGAGGGACCCAAGATCTGATCTGGGCAGGCCCCTCAGAGAAAAATCCCCATGAATTTTTAATGGTTAATTCGTTCCGGATATGAGGACCCCATCCCTCACTACCCGGTCGCCCCTAGTCGAATCAACACCGATACGGACCCTTTTAGTGTCCACATAACAGAAAGAGTTTTAAAATCACAATTATATTAAGTATATTCATTTTTAAAATCTTATTTAACATCATCTTTTATGCCTATTCCATTTTTATAATTGTTGAATTAAAACACATTTTCGTCTAAATATTTTTTATACAAAAATAAATAAGTGAAAAGTGAAAATTGTTAAACAATTCCAGACGACATAATTCACAAAGAAACAAATAAATAAAAAAAAAGATTATAAATAATATTTTATGATTAAAATTACCACTCTAATCCACGAAAAGAATAATATGGTTAGCTTATTATTTTCTTTTCAAATGGTATAAGAGAAAATTTCCTATTTAAATTTTAATAATATTTTAGTATTTTGGATTTTTAGAAAATATTCATTCGCTCAACCTACTTTTATTAATATAATCAAACATAGTATTATTCAGTAAATCCATAAAGTAGAATAAATAACCTTTGTCTTTCATTTCCTTTTTAGATTTTTAGATATTTCTAGGTGCAAGAAGCGTTTCAAAAAGACTTAAAGTATTTTTAAAAAGAAACATAATTTATTACTAAACTTTCACTTGATTTTCTTTACGCCAACTAAATTTTTCTATTTTTAACAAATTATGCGTGTCTAATAACTTTTTTGCGATTTAAAATTATTCAAAATATGAATATATAATAGAATAAGTTAATATATAATACATTAAATTTTAATTTAATATTGTAATTGGACTCGTTTTGTGAAGGAAAATTTTAAAAAAAAAGCTCATTTCTTTAAAGTTTTACATTGCAAATAATGTATTTTTCATTTTAGATAAAATTATTTTTTACAGTTTCAATATAAGTTCTTAAATTTGTCATTTTATTTGTAATTCTCGCTAATTATATGTCATGAAAATAATTCACATATTTTTAATGGATATTATAATAAATAGCTTATAAAATTGAATTTTTCAAAAAATAATAATTTCTATAAAAAAATGAGAACATTAATTTGTTAAATATACATAATCATAAATATTATAAATAATCTAATACGAATAAATGAATAATTTATAAAGGAATGAATAATAAATAACGAACTCTAAAATATATAACTAGCATGTTTATCAACCTTTTTTTCTTTAAAATATTTTTAAAGGATGTTTGAAGTAAAAACAAAATTTGAATTTTCGAAAATTAAAAATAAAAAATGTATAATTAATCATTAAAATTTGAATAAAATTTAACTAATTTAAGATTTTTATACAGAAATATTTATAATTAAACTTATCAAAACTAAAAAAAAATGAATAATTAATTAAATTTTACTGAAAAGTAAATTATTTTTCTTTAAAACTCGGTTTATAAAAATTTTTTTTTAATATTTTTTATCACAGAATATGATATCCAGGAGAAAAAATTAAGATTCCTTACCAAGAAAACCAACATATCTTTTGCAAACTGGATTTGGACTTATATCCGGTCGATTATTTCCGACTCTTACAGTTATCGTTGCAGGATTATTATTGGCTGGATACAAAATTATTATCAAAAAATAAAATAAAAATATAACTAGAAAATAAAAAAACAAAACTGCCAATTTTTAGTAAGTACTTACGACAGCAAGAAGTTCCGAAATCGATTCTTACAAGTTGAACCAGGTATGGTTCTAGTAAATTGACATACCACCAAGGAGATCTTTCAATTTCGGTTGAAGTACAAGTGTCGGGATTGAAAAAGGAACTCGTTGTACCATCTAATGCTTTCTGTGGGTTTCCTTTTCCCATAACAGAAGACTGTAAGGATGCTTTTCCAATAGCAACATTAAATACTGGAATATAAATATAACAAAACAATTACATATCGAATATTAAAGAATTTTTAATCTAAAAACATCTATAAAAATTATCTATAATTAAAATTTATAGATATTTAGAAGAAGAAATTTGTGAATACAGTTTTATCAGTAAATATAAATATATCTAGAATACCCTTGGTTTTGTTTATAATTATTTCATGTTTAATCTAAGGCACTCCAACAAATTATACGTAATTTCGTAAACGTAACGTACCAAAAATCTCGATATTTTATATTTATTAAATCAAACTGTATTGTACAGTACATGTGGCAAATATCCTTGATATTTTAGTTTGACGCAATAGACTAGGATGTGATTTACAGTAACTATCTATAAAATTCATAATTGATATTCATCACAATATTTGTTTTTAAGATCAAAATTGCAGTTATTTCATTCCGATATTTTCTTGCAGTGTTAATTATCTAATTTTTGTGTAAGTTTTACTGTATAAAAATGCTATACGTAGAAATTTATCGTCAAGATAAATAATGAAGAATTTCATTGATATTAGAAATTTACAATAAAATGTTAAATATTTTATGAAAAGTTTATAATTACATTAAACATATATAATTCGTGTGTTTTTAAATACACACTGGTGTTCAAAATTAAGAGAATTTGCACATTTTGTCGATTTTAATAAAAAAAGTAGTGAACCGAAAGTATAAATTATGCTACCGAATAAAAATGCAAATTTTTAGTTTTGAATTCGTAAGCTTACACGTGTTTGTGGGCAGAGTTTTGACAACGGAGGAACGAAAAAAAAAAAAAAAACAAGGGGCTTTGTCTGCGATTGATTCGCTCGCACTCCTCAGTGACATTCATTGTTTTTCTTGCAAGAGTTGTTCAATTTCATATTCAATCAGATAAAATGAGTAGACATGAACGTCTTGATGACGGAATGAGGTGGAGAATCGTGAGTAGATTGGATGCGGCGCAATCAAAAGTGCAGGTTGCTAAAGAACTCAATGTAACATCCAGTGTCGTCTGCAATTGGTTGAAAGAGTTCAAGAATATCGGATTCATATCGAAAAGGCCTGGGCAAGGTCGTCCAAGAGCCACGACAGACAATGAAGATTGTTATTTGGCACTTTCAGCGAGGCGCCACAAGACTGCTACAGCTTCATAGCTATCTTGTGAGATGCATGTTACCACTGAAATCGAATTTCAAGGGTTACTGTTTTCCGGAGGCTTCGTGAGAGAGGGCTTTTTGCCAGAAGACCGCTGTTTGCGTCCCGATCACTTCAACACACAAAAGAGTGCATTTAGCATGGAGCAGACAAGATCAACCTTGGACCAGACTTCAGTGGGGTACAGTTCTCTTCATAGACGAGTCGCGATTCAGCCTGAACCGGGATTCTCGACGCATCTTTATCTGGAGAGGACCTGGGACTGGATTCCTTTTCTCCAACCTCCGAGAAAGGGACAGCTATGGCAGTGGAAGTGTCTAAGCAGGCATCATGTTGGACGGCTGCACATCTCTCCATGTGTTTGACAGATACTCCTGACTGCTAAGAGATGTAGGGATGAGATCTTATAGCCCTATGTTCGACTTTTCAAGGGCGCAGTTGGCCCTTGGTTCATTTTTAAAGATGACAACGCTTGTACACATAGAGCTCACCTGGTCGACAATTATCTTGAAAGTGAGGATATTCGCCGGATGGATTGGCCAGCCAGATTTTCAAACCTAAGCCCTATTGAACATGTCTGAGACGCTGTTGGGAGGGCGATTGCGGGTTGCAATCGCCCTCCCAACAGCGTCTCAGCATCTCTGAGAACCACCCAGGAACTGAAAAGTGCATTGCTGCAGGAATGGGACCGACTGCTACAGGGACTCATCAGTTGCCTCGTTTCCAATATGACGTCGCGATGTGCGAGCTGTATGATTGAGTCATTCTATGTTTGATCTTGCAACATAGGGTTCGGACATTCCTGCGCTGATGAGCCTTACTGAAGATTATGAGTGCATACCATGACTGTTGTATAATTCTCTTATATAACTGTGTATCCATATCAAATATCATTAAAATGTGTCCATTAGTTTTTCAGAAATTCAACAAAATATGCAAATTCTCTTAATTTTGAACACCAGTGTATAATTTATTAACATTTTCTCACAGGTTAAGATCTATATAACAATAATTTATGATATTATTAATTTATATAATATTATATTAAAAAATTAGACTAAAAATTCCATACAAAATTTATGAAATTTTAGATATTTTATAATCTCTTTTGTAATTTTAATTTCAATGTATTTACTGAGAAATTTATGTTCTGTTACGTAAATTGTGCCAAAAAATATAGACATTACGTATTGCCTTCGATTAAGTTTGAAGGATACTAAACATAGAATATAATAAATATGATACAAAAATAAATAAATAAATATTATGAGCACGCATATACTGTAACTTCATCTAGAATTAAATGAGACGTATAATTTAAGCACGATAGAAAATGATACAAGTAGAAAGCTATTTGTGCCATTAATGGAATCGCATCTCTGCATTCGTGATTATTGTTCAAAGAAAGATTGTTTTTATTTTCTTACAACTTTTCCTACATAAGGGAATAAAAAACTAGAAGTTACAGTTTCCATTTTTAGAATTAAAATAAAACTATCACTAAATTAGGAAAAAACCTACTTAAAATGTTTAAGTGAATGATAAAATGTTTAAAATATTAACATTTATTTCACGAGTTATTCTTATTTATTGATTATTGCCACACTTATTTTTGGTATTGCATCTCACGTCGTAAACTTAATTCTGCAGCAATTAAAGTTTATTACCAATTTTATAGTTTTCTAGAAATTAATCGACAGTTCACGAAGGGAAGTGTACTTGACAACAGACAAACGAGGGGAAAAAAATGAGAAATGCTATAAGATACAGAAGGTTAGAAAAGAAATTTTATATAGAAAAAAAAATATATAAATATATTAATATTTTGTTTTGCATTAACGGTCGAAAAAACTTACATGACTTTGAATGAGTGTACTGTATAGTTTAAAGAAAGCGTATACTAAAGCTTCTTAGGGGGTAAAAACTAAGGTCACGTTTTGTTCCTATGACCTCAACTTCTTCGTGACGCTCGTCACGCATCACGTTGGATAACCGCTTAGATTTGGTACAGAGATTCGAGTCTTTAGTCACGGATAACAGGTGTAAACAGAAAGCAGGTGTCGAGAACGAGTTTGTATTCTCAAATACTGGTGCGTTAGTATCAGTCATGTTTAATCTAAGGCACTCCAACAAATTATACGTAATTTCGTAAACGTAACGTACCAAAAATCTCGATATTTTATATTTATTAAATCAAACTGTATNGTACTGTATCTTGTAAATGGTTTTTGTATTGTAGTATGATAAGAGAAATGCCAAAATTTTACACAATTATTAAAATACTTCCTGAATATTCGTTCATAACCTTTCTTTAAGCGTAATGACCTTATAAAAATTGCGTGACGGACTGAACATTTCGATGAATGTGCCTTGTATTTTCTGCTATAATTATGAAAAGAGAAGTTCTGCAAAGAGGTGTAAATGATTCGAATGACTAGTTATTAATATTTTCAGATCATTGGTTTCATGATGTCTTCATCCAAAAAACACATCACTCACAACTAATGTATTTTTAAACAGATTTTTTTTGCTTCCGCTCTTCGAAAGGTCTATATTTAATAAATATACATTTTAATTACTTAATAATTTTTAAGAATTTTCAACGCGTGACTGAAAATTGTTCTAATTCAATTAACTGAAAAAAAATTCTCTTAGTGTTATTTCCGTGTTTGCTTCAATTATTTATAATTATGTAGTTAATTTTGGTTCGTTAGTTAGGCCTATTTATTCAATAGGTGAATATGAAAGAGTAATTTCTGAAAAATATTTATAGAAAAATAATATTTTTCAAGAAATCAGTTGAAAGATTATTGAGATTAAGAAGAATCTACTCCAAATGAAAACATTCATCTCCTTCATGGGCATTTTTTTCATTTTAATTAAGTTTAAAAATGTTATTTTTATTAAAAAAAGAAGTTTTTTTTCTAAATTTTATAATTATCTGCAGATAATAAAGAATTAAAAAATAATGTTTATAGTTTAATCCCGGAAGATTAACGGTAACTAAAGACAGCGTTGGATTTTTAGAAAGTGCACTTGTTTCGCTTCTGGGCCTCGACAGTTTCCAGGTCGATGACACTGATTTGAGAGAAGGAAAATAGAGAAAAAGTTGAAATAACCTTGACGGAAGCATTTGATAAAATTAACAATCCACATGAAAAAGTAATTTTTAATTATTGTAATTTTACTGTTGTCAATTATTTCATGAATGGCAGAAATACTCATTCATTGCTGTTTTCGATTTTAATCCTAATTTTATAATTTATTATTAAAAATAATACTTTTAGAACATAAATTTTATATTATTGGAATATTAATTTTATCATTTCGAATATATTTTAACATTTGAGATGAATGTAACCCGAGTAAATAGGAAAACTGTTTTAAAAATATCAGGAAATTTATATATGTTAAAGAACAATATGATCTTAGTTTAATATATGATATACCCTACATCGCCTGAATGATTGTTTAGGGCACAGTTGAGACAATGAAACTTATTGAAGGACATTGGGTGAAGTTCGGTCACGGAGGCTTGATGTCACGTTATATATGCTTTACTAGATGAATCGTACCCACACCCAATATAATAATAATAATGGATATTCGAGTGTGGAATTCGTCCTTTTCACCTATTAATTCGAGTCATTACATATTCAAAATTCACTTTAAACTAAGGTAAACGTACTTTTAGTCTAGCTTGGTTTTAACATGTATTATTTTATGCCTGATTTCTATATTTTAATTATTTTAGTAAATTATTGAAATATAACTATAATAGTTATTTCAGTTATTAGTCAACGATAGCTTATAAACATTTTCTTATCTGATAAAAAATTGATCATTTTAAAGACAAGTTTCTTTCGTATTAAGCAACGTGGATATTTGTTATATTGATATAGATAAATGGGTGTAAGAAATTTGCCATTTACAGTTTTTTACCAAAGACTAAATAGTTTATAACACTTGCATACTATTTGTACTACCGATAACATAATAATTTGACAAAAATGATAATTTTTTAAAACTGTTTAACCATATTTTCTTTAAAAAGTAGATACTTGCGATTATGATTTATAGTGAATTGATAATCTAATATTTTATCATAATTTGATATTTATAATAAAGAATTATATATTTTTAAAAATGTAAGTAATTTATATATATTTTTTCATACATTCAAATATTTTATTTACAAGAAATAAATGTACAATTATTGAATATAGTAAGTGTAATTCAATAAACTTAGTTGAAAATTTTTTGTATGTTCGAAACTAAAATTTTCATGAAATAACTATATGGAATGTATTGCTAATTATCCTATAAAAATTAATAGCTATTAAGAATGGTAAATTTTGGCAACCAACACGGAAAGCATTAGAAAAATTTGTTGTTTATATAAAATAATAATAATAATAAAGCTCGTAAAAATGTTTAAAAATTCAGTTTTCTTGAGTTTTTTACATTAGTATACTGTATACTTGTATGCCATATTGAAATACGTTCTTCCTATATTTCCATAAGGTTTTCTTATAGATTCATGTTAAAAGATCTTGCATTAAATAATTGAGGAAATGAATTCGACTTTCGCCTAGATTTTACGTTTCTTCTAGCTAGTTTTCTTTAAATGAACTACAGTGATTGATTACATATAATACGGCATCTTACTAAAAACTAAATGTTAATCTAATTAGTTAAAAATGCATTAGTCTTGCACTTAAAGCTAAATAGGAATAATTTGTTATTTTTCTTCTCACTAATGATAAATAAGATGGTTGGCCTAATTTATACTTTTCTGAATCTTAATAAATATAACGTGCGTTCATCATTAATTTTTATATTTATTATATTGAAATTCTTTAATGATTAATACTTTACTCGAGTCATTTACGTAGAACATTTAATTGAAAGTTATCATTAATTATACTAATAGTTATTTTCAATTGATTCAATAAATTAAGAATGCGTCATTAAGGAAAATATTCATTAGTAATACATTAGATATTTAATATCGATAAAAAAAACCAACATTTTTATTTTTTAATTACTTCGAATTCTGAATTAATTTAAGCAATCAAACTCTATACATAAATACAAAAGAAAAAGTTTTTTTTAATAAAATTATTAACATACCACAAAGAGGTGTTGTCAAAGGTATCCAGGTGCCATTTTCGGCACATAGACGACGCGATGGTCCAAGCAATTCGAACCCGGGATCACATTTGTATGTCGCTAAAATACCAGGTTCTATGACCTCACCAGAAAATATAACGGAAGAATGAGATGGTGATCCTGGATATCCGCAGGCATCAATGAGACGTGGCCCTGAAAGTTATAATTAATAGCGTTATTTTTAACTCAATGAATCGATATATGAAGATTTCGTTGTTTTATAGTCGTTTTTTCCTTATTTTTTTTATGTCATAGTTAACTGAATAAACTGTTTACATGCTCTGTGTTGCGGCAATGACCCATCTCGTATAAGTAGATCAACCTTAAAGCGTTAATGTGTAAAAATTGTATAACTTATTTTTTATACTGTGTATACTAACTATTTACATAGATAAATCTTAAGTTTATTTACTTACATAATTTCTATTCAAAGAAAAATTAACTTTTGTAAATACAGTAATAAGAATTATCATGTTATTTTAAAATATTTTATTAATATATCAGACTTAAGTCCGAAAAAAATTTTAAAATATAATACTCATTTAAAGTATTAGTGTATCAAATAAATTCAAAGTTTTTAATGCACTTTTAATATATATTCATACATTTGCGTATTCAAAACGAATTGTTAAAATATTTAAAACATTTTGGATGAAATCCAATTGTTTATTATAATATTAAACTGTAAATAATCATTATTTTATTAAAGCAGAATAATTTCGGAAGTATTTCTCTTGATGTTCATGAATTTATATTAAGCAAATTATTTGATCATTTAATAAAGATGCTGTAGAACATAAAATTACAGCTATATAATTTATAGGTTTATTCAAAGAATTTTTTCAAGCAAACTACTGCTACTACACAAGTCTTAACAATACCTCTTATTTTAATTATAATTATTTGAAAGATATAAAAGTAATGATTAAAATGAATAAATTGACATAATACTCACGTGAAATCAATAGTAACGAACTAATTATCTGAAACGCGAGACCTATCAAGGTCATTATCAGAACCCTTAGATCTTCCTTCAAGACATTCAGTTTATATTCCAAGAGCTAAGCACGTTGTTTGTCATTTGTAAGAAAGGTCAGGTAAATTTTTTTTTATATTCTTCTTGGTATCAAGTTTTATACCTCTTCACTTCCTTACTTCTACTACGTCATAAATTTATTCAACCAATAAAATTACTTTTGCCCTAACTTATTATCCAATAGCCTCAGGGTAAATTGTTTTGATATAATACTGCCATCTGCTGAAGAGGTCTGAAAATATAAAGTTTGTACAAAAGTAATTCATTTAAAAAATTGTCTAGCATAAAAAACTGTGTTTAACTATTTATTACACTTTTCTTTTCTTAGCAACTTTAAAATTTGTTTCAAAGAAACCCATAAAAATATTTAAAAATAATGAATTTCAAGGCGAGAAGTACTGTACCTCGTTTTTTATAAAAATTATTCTTTGTAGACGATTCAAAAATTTTCGTGACGTGACGTCAGACCATCGACGTTTATGACGTCAGAAGAGGGTTTAGGAAGGTCGAGTCGAGATTAAACAAGTTATTAAGTTAAGAAAAGATTGAAGATTGGGTGGAGTGGTGTAAAGTTATCAATCTGTATAATTATCATATCAATATAAAAGGTAGTATCGTTTATAGCATGAACTGGTTTTAAAAGTGTTTTTAATCAAACGGACTCTCACACAAGTGTCTTTTATATGACAAATGCTAACAATTGTAAATGGTTTTCAAACGTAAAATGTAATTTATATACAGATATCTCAAGAACGTTTTTAATTTAAGATAACATACTTGACAGACAGTTTGAATAGTTTTGACTACACAGAGGTTGACAAAAGTTTTGACAGATTGTTGAAGATATTTTGTGTGTTAAAATATTATCTAAAAACTATTTTGTTCTTTTAGTACATCTTGAAAATTTCAAAAATATAAAGCATTTTTATTGTTGAGTAGTGTAATTTTTATAATTAAAGTGAATGAACTTTTAACAAAAAATGAACATTAAACATTGGATTCAGTTATTTTGATTCAAGATAATTTTTATTTGAAATGTCTTCAATTGAAAATATTTCAATTATATTCGTTATATTTTAATTAACAACAAATTAAATTAATAAATGAAATAATTTAATTTAATTAATTCTAAGTTTTTAATGTATTTTAGAACATTATATTTGAAATTTAACAATTGAATTTATAAAAAAAACAAAAAAGTTTTTTCTAACAAATTAATTCACTAAAGCAGAAAATATTTTTCCTCAATTTTTATATTTTATTACAGAATTATTCAATTTTATAATAAATAAGCTTATTTAAAAACAATTCAGTTTTATAAATTTGATAATATAAATTAATAATTATAAAATTTAAAATTGCATTCAACACAATAGGACATAGTTGTTTAGCTTTGTGTGAGAAAGGGATAAACTTTTATTCTTCTATTGTTTCTTTGTACAGTGTGCAGAACTCTACCCGACATACACATATAATAATTTTCGCACTGTGAGAACTTATCCGTATTCTAATAATAGAACATTTTATAATTTTGCTTAACATAATAAAGTTCTTCGAAGTTATTTTATGTACAGACAGGTGTATATATTTTTAATAATTATTTTTCTTTACATAATTATTTGGGTGTGGATGCTTTTTTTCTGGTTCAGAATTCTAACAATAACGAAATAATGCCACATAAATATCCCGTCCTTGTTTCATTGTAGAAAAAAAAAGAACATTCTTTTCATAAAAACATAACAAAATTATTATCGTCATAATATTTAATTATAAAATAATTATATTTATGATTAAATGGCATATAAAAAGCTTCATCTTTTAAGTTTTGCTTGTTTTATTGTTAGATTTGGCCATTAAAATATTTTTCATTATTAATTAAAATAATAAAAGAAAAATTTATTTTATTTAAAACTCACTAACTGGATTATAAGCTCAAATATTTGTAGAAAGGTAACAAGATTATAACTTAATAATAATAATATAAAATGAAATTAAACACAGTAAATTAATTCCATTATATAATTAAACTTTTATAATAGAATTTAAAGAGAAATAAACAAAGTTGGAAGTAATTTGTTTATCAAATAATAATGAATGAATACTTTGAGTCAAAATGATATATCAAAATTGACAAACATATTCTATACTTAATGATAGCATAACTAGGCTACATCAATATTGGGGAAAAGGGTACACAACTGCATTAAATACTATGGATGTAATTTATGGATAAAGGGTAGACTCTTGGATATTGTATATACAGTATCTAAGTGAGTTGTCAAATACAAATCTTTTTCCTGCACTTAGTTCATTTTTCTTAATTTATTTAAAATGAGTAATACTAGTATGTATAGTATATACTGTATATATATATAGTCTATATATACATACACAAATCCTTTAAAATTTTATTTTAAGTATAGAGTATATTTATCAATTTTGATATATAATTTATAAATTTTGACTTTTTAGTATAATTACTTTAAGTTATACATATCTACGTATATTCAGAAATCATTTTAAAACTTACATCCACTTTAAATGTTGGTTGTATTTACAAATAAATCAGCAACGAGTTGCTCAACTTTCCAGGCAACATTTAAAATTTTAGTGGCGCCATCTGTTATCATATTTTATTTGAAAACATTTTTGCATTTTTAACTATTATAAAATGATAAAAAGTTTAATTTTGTGGGTAGGATGAGTTTTATAATATATATATATATTATATATGCCTGTATACACAAAGGANTCCTCGACTTTTAACCACCAAACTTTAATAGCATCAGTCTCTCTATAAACAAACCTCCGTGCAAAATTTCAGAAATTTTTGTTAAAAGATACAGGAGTTATTAGGCTTCAAAGAGAGTGAACAAAATCGTGCCCCACATACATACACTAACACGCACATACACGCACTAACATCCATACATACAGAAATTATCTCCGAATTTTTTTGCATTTCTCGACATTTCAAAGTGTCCTAAGTCCAAAAATGTAAAAATCTGGAGGGTCATTTTTTGCCGGATTGCCATACTTTCCCTCTGTTATAACAGTTGGGAAAGTAAAAGACCTACGAGGTATCATCAAACGTACAGTACAGTCTGATCGCAAGGAAGATAGTAAAATTTATTAATTTGAGAAGTTAACAAAACTTAATTTACAAAATTAAAATTTACAAGTTCAGAGGAAACACTAAATTAGAGTAAAATTGTCTTCACAGTTCGTTCCCTCTGGATTGCGTAATGTAGCCTTCCTGAGACTACATTATGCAATCCTGAGATATGAAAAGGAATGAATTGTAAAGACACTTTTACTGTAATTTAGTGTTTCTTCTGAACTTGTAAATTTTAATTATTGTCGTCCTAAAGTTTAATAATTATTACAAAATAAATTTAAAAGTATAAAAACTGATTAAGTCATTATACTCTTGTATACACAAAATAAAGATTTTTCAAACATTGATCAAGAATTAANGTAGAGAAAAGTTACTGGTTGCAACAAGGTTGACCATTTTTAAATGTAAATGTGTTGTTTTCTCTTATAAATATATTATTATCAAATTGATAATTCTTGTATTTTGTTTAAAATAATATTAACATAAAACATCGTAAATTCGGTCATATAAAGTAGCATTATTTACAATAGGATCTAATTAAAAACAAAACATGATTTTATGATTAATACCCCATAAAAAAGTTTTGTAATTTTAGTAACCTGAATATATTTTACACGTGTGTAATTACATGCTTAACATGCTTTTTAAAAAGATTTGAAAATTAAAATTTAAAATGTCTAATGAACCTAATTTATTAATAATATACACGAACTTCTAAAAAAATTACGTAACATGCATCAATAATCTAAGCATACACTCATTTTCAAAGAAATGACTGAAGGCTATTCACTAGTTCTTGTTATTAACTATTGCTTGGTAATTACTGTAGGTATATCACATTCGAAAATATATTTTATGAACTAAAATTTTCAATATGATTTTATTCATGTCGAAAAATCCCAAAATTTTTTGAGAAGTCCATCCGGATATGTCTGGCCCATTCCATACCACTTGGCTGCATGATGAAGTTGGCAATGGACAACCTTCCATTACTAATCCGGCATAACAAGTTATTCTCATATTAGTGTTAATACTTTTTAAGCTTCTTATATAATACTGTACTCAGTATTAACACCTATATTTTTCATTATAATTTACTTTATGCTACTGTTTTAATTTACATTTAAGTTACTGTTATAGTAAATCATTATATATATAATTTTTCAGTAAATCTATTATGTTTTTCTTATACAATAAAACATCATATTGTAAAATGAAAATGATTTCTAAGTATCAACTGTTGATAGAGGTGTATCTATATATATAACCCATTCAACAGGTGTCCGTCCTTCCTTCCGTCCGTCCGTCCCGTAACCGTTTGATAACCGACACTAGAGGCGCCCCTATCGTGTGTCATATTTCAAACATTCAAATTAAATTAACAATTTTAATTATTATTTAAATCAACAATATAAATTATTATTATTCATTTGGCCAATAAATTATTATTTGGTCAATATAACAATATAAATAATTCAGTATATTTGTAATAGGAATTTATTATTGTCACGGAATGCCTGTAATGTTCACTAGGGGGCGAATAACGAAAAACCGGATAGATTTGAACCGCTACGATAAAACGATAAGTGAAATAGTTAAGCTAATATTTTAATATAATAATAGAAACCTTTCATGGCACGACCAAAGAAATACGCCACTGTGGGGGAACGTAAAGCTGCCACTGCTGCGAGACAAAGGGAGAGACGTGCGCAGGAAACATTACAGAGAATAGCACAATCAACACGTGGAGGCTTGCAGAATGAAACTCATGAGCTCAGATCTGCAATGTTGCACAGGCAGGCAGAAGCAAAACGACACAGAAGACAAAATGTCACAACAAGGCAAATTGATTCCAAATAATTATACTTTTTTTTACCAACAATGTTGTGTATACAGAAGTTTTATGATGGGATAAATGATGGAATACAGAACACAGCTA